CGTGTAGCTATGTAATTTAATTTTTCAGTGTGCTAAAAAGCCGCAGTTAGTGTAATGTTCTATATGTTGGTGTAAAATTTACTTCGAATCGGCCTTGTTTTTTGGGTTTTTGCTGCTTCTACTCAAGTCAATGTATTTCTTCAGCCAACCTGGCTAGTCTTATGTTTTAAAACGGCAATCAGTTTTGTATTAGCTTGTTTTATAGATATCCAAAGCCGAAGTTCGTTTTTTTAGTTAAAATAATTGTTGTTGCTGCCTGTAACTAACTGTCCGCATGTTCGTTCCAAACTGTCGTTTATGATGTTATCGGCAAAATGAAAGGAAACAATCTTCGGTTTGTAATTTTCTTCAGTATTATAGACAACACAATCCCGCCAACGATTCAAAGTAATACTGATTACCTAGCAGTAGTTGATGTCAGTATTGTTTTCGAAAGGATCCAGACTACTGCCAACCACAGACGAAGTCACAGATACTACCAATGTATTGTATTCATTTCAATAAGCATGGATCTAACCTCCTACACGAACAGGCTTACAAACGCAATGCGTTCAGTTAAACCTGCTTCCACTCGACCTCAATCAACTGATGTTTTCGTTCAACCTGACTTACGATATAGTACACACGTTTTCGTTCGTCGAGACTCACATCGACGACCTTTCGAATCAGCATACGAAGGACCTGTCAAAGTTCTTCAACACGAACCGAAGCACTATTTAATCGATAAGAACGGAACCAACGATAACATCAGCATCGATCGCCTCAAAGCAGCGTATTTAGAAGGAAATCATATCTATGTCGATTTTCCTTTGGTACAATCGAACGACACGACTCTGACACTTATAATACCTCATCCAACAACCAATACGCACGATGATACTTAAACAGTATCTGAAGATAAACTTAAAACGACGCGTTCTGGAAGAAGAGTAAGATTACCAGAAAATTTAAATGACTATTGCACGTAAGACACTAGTTAACATTTTGCTTTATCTCGATTTCCCATTGCGTTTTATATAATATAAAAAATTTTAATATGCTTATATTTATATATTCATCATTTAGATAATATGTATATTAAAAAGATTTTTTCTAAAAATAAGATTCAGATTTGTGTTGTAAGGACAGAAGGCCTACGGCCTATTTTATTCCTTTTCTAGTATGCTCCCGTGAGTGTTCAGTCTTCTCTTGAAAAAGTCAATTGAAGGTGCGGACACCACTGCTTCAGGTAGCAGGTCCCAAGTATTGATGAAGCGGTGTGAAAACCTGTATGCCACGGGTATTTTGTTCGTTCTTGGCTTTTCTACTCGCCCGCTATGTCCTCTAAAGTGTCCCGATCTAGTGGGAAGAAAGAGAGAATAAGTTAGGTCCAAAATTATTTCTCAGTATTCTGTACATCAAAATTAGATCTCCCCTTAGTCTGCGGTAGGACAGAGTAAATAGGTCTGGTTTTTCGAGCCGCGCTTTGTATGATAAACCCCGGAGTTCCGGAATTGCATGGGTAGCTGCCCTCTGTACTTTTTCTAGTATGTCCGAGTCACCTTTTAAACAAGGGCTTGCAGTCAGTGTTAAATGTCTGAAGTAAACTGCGAAATGTTGTCCAGTTGTCGAGACTCATGAGGTGAGTATTTGTCTGAAGAGGAACTTGACGAGAAAATAAGAGGTTTACAGTCAGTAAATGGGTGAATTCACGAGCTTCGATGTAGTGTTGAAAACGCCTTACAGCACAATACATAGCTAGGAGTTCCCTACCGAAAATGCTGTACCTCGATTCAGTGTCTAAAAACCGTCTAGAGAAAAATGCCAACGGTTGCCAGGAGTTGTTAACCCATTGTTGCAAGACTCCTCCGATTGCCGAGTCGGATGCGTCTACTGCGATACTAATGGGTGCTTTAGTGTCCTCATGTGCGAGCATTGTTGCCTTAGCGATCAGTTCCTTAACTATGGAGAATGCTTTTCGTGCGGTGTCGTCCAGATTGATGGATTTCGCATTTCCACGAAGTTGATTGGTGAGAGGTTTCATAAGTAATGCGCATTTCGGTATGAAGCGTCTATAGAAACTTACCAGGCCGTTAAACGTGCATAATTGTTTGACGGTGGTCGGTTCTGGGTAATCTAGAATGGCCGCCACTTTGGTCCTAAGAGGTCGAATGCCTTGAGCATCAATAGTGTGCCCTAGGAAGTCTAACGAGTCGGTTCCGAATTGGCATTTGTGAAGGTTTACAGTAATGCCATGTTTTTGTAATCGATCGAAAACAAGATCCAGATGCTGGAGATGTTATTCTCTGTTCGGACTTGCGATTAGGCAGTCATCAACATACGCATGTACGAAGTTGAGACCTCGAAAAACGTCGTCTATGAACCTTTGGAAGGTTTGTGCAGCGTTTCTTAGATCGAAAGGCATTCGCCAAAATTTGTAGAGTCCAAAGGGAGTTATGATGGTGGTTTTCGAAACATAGTCAGTAGCCATATGGATTTGGTTATACGCTTTAACCAAGTCGATTTTTGAAAATAAAGTTGTACCTTTCAAGGTAGAGGTCAAATCGTTAATGTGAGGCAACGGGTAACGATCGGGAATGGTTTTTGCATTCAATCGCCGATAGTCACCAGTTGGACGCCAATCGTTGCTGTCTTTTTTAGGGACCATGTGCAACGTAGATGCCCATGGGCTGTTTGACAGCTGTATGATTCCTAAGCCTATCATGTGGTCGAACTTGTTTTTCGCCAACCTTAGCTTTTCGGGGGCTAGTCATCGTGCTTTAGAGAATACAGGAGGTCCTGTAGTTGTGATGTGATTTGTAACGTTGTTGGTTACATACGGTAGTTTCGGTTGCGTTTGTTGTATCTCAGGATACTTATCGAGTAGTGGTTGATAAAGTGGGTCTATCGTCTGCTTAATTGTGACTGGGGATAATCTGCAACCAGAAAAAGAAGTTACGCAAACGGATAAATTAGTGTTTCCGTCTACTAGCCTCCGTTTGCGCGTGTCGATGATTAAATTATGGTGTTGTAGAAGGTCCATACCAATGATTGACATAGAAACATCTGCAACAACGAAAATCCAATGAATGGGTTTGCGTAAACCCACGTTAAGGTAAACGTACTTATTGTCATACGTGGCTATCGGTTTTCCATTTGCCGCCTGTAAGTTTAGAGTTGATTTGTGGAGCCGGTCGTTATGATTTGCTGGGAGAACGCTGACTTCTGCGCCAGTGTCGACGAGGTAGCGAACTCTCGTTGTCACATCTGTGACGTACAACAGACGGCTATGTTCGCCGGCTAGGGTTGCCGTTAACGCGTGCCGGCTTGGAAGTTTCCCGAGTTGTTTTTCGAGCCAGTCGGTTTCGTGTTGTGAAAATTGCAGCGTTTTCTGCAATTTCTGGAAGACTTTCCATACTGGTTATGATACCAGCACCAGTCGGGGTTATCCGTCTCTCGTGGTCTAGAGACAGATCGCTTACGTGAATTGCTTCTACGTGGGCTGTGTAAGCGAAGATTAAGATAACGCGTGAGTGTATGACATAACTCGGTTATGTCATTCTGAGTCGTGTGAGGCTTTTCTTTGACTGAAAATACCTCTGTCGTAGACGATTTCGTTATTTCTAAAATACGATCGGCAGATGCAGCTAGCTTGTCTAAGGCGTTGTTCTGAAACGAGACCAGAACCGCTTTCACCTGTTGGGGAATTTTGGACAAGAAAAGTTGTTTGAAGAGGCCTTCGTCGAAAGTTCTTAGGCCTATCACTTCTCTCATTCGTTGCAACATGTCAGTCGCAGAACCGTGTTGCAGGTCGATGTTATTGAAGAGCTGATCTAACCTTTGTCGATCGGTTAGGTCTCCTCGTTTAAGAATCGAACGTTTTAGGATTTCGTAAGGTTCGGAAACATCACTAGTAAACATACTAAGTGTTACGTACCTGTTGAATTCGCGCGGTAGTGCCTTGACTACTGCGAGGAATTGTGCACGTGTGTCGATCACGCCGTGCTCGGAGAAGTCAGCTTCTGCGTAGCAGAACCAGGCTTCGATATTGTCGGGCCAGAAAGTTCATGAGTTGAAACGAAGGCGGGGACAAAGTCTTAAGCGTGAGTACTTTGGGTGTCTGTTCAGCCATGATGAAATATGAAGTACGATAATGAACGAGGGGAAAAATATATATATATCCAAGAAAAAACACGAAAAATCACAATGTTTAAAAAAATAAGGCAATGATATATAAAAATCCCAAAAAGCAACAGACTCACAGTTGCAATTAAGTGTACCAGATCACGTCGGGTTCACCAATGAGCATGATGCAGGTATTCAGTGTTTGACAACGCTTCTACCAGTAACACCTTCTAATATACTTTGTTCCCACCGAGAGAAATCAAAAGACAGAGTCGAGGAGATCGGAAGAGTGTATTTGGCGATAACCAATATATCGGGATTCTCTGATCTAATCTGGCTAGCGTTTGCGATAGATGTTGAGCACAGCGTTAACACACGTGATCTGATGCGGATGCATGACCGAGCGCCTTCAGCTAGATGATTCCACTAAAACATATGGTCAGCATCCAATGTCGAAAACCTACAGAGCTATTTAGTTTGGGGATTTATTTACCGCTACATTATCAGTCCTTTTTAAATAGCGCGCCGGATAGCTCTTTGTACATTTGTGCGGGGCATAACCTGATCGTATATCATGTCACAAGCTCTAAACATGAATGATAAGACAGGGTGATCGCCATTCACTAACGGTGGAAGAATATTTAGATTGGCAATATCCTCATTCGTATGAATAATTACCAAGTGTGACAAGGAAGAACCTTGGTTTGAACCAAAACGTGTGGGTTTGGATACATGCTTTACTAATGCATGCTCCTTGTATGTATAGTGTAGTTGAACTTAAATCAAGTTTATGGCCGTCTTGATTTGGCCGCTTCTGCAAAACCTTACGAATTTTCGCGATGACGCACCAATCGTTTAATGATGGGTTGACCTTCAAGTGTTCAGTGACCTCCATCAATGGACGGTGCCAATGGATCGTTGACCGTTTGCTTACCTTCGGTCGGTTAGATTCTATTCCCAAAGATGACGGTTACATACTCGTCGGTTGTGGCAACTGCGAAATATTGGACTTTTATAAGATTATTGTTTATGTAATGCTTACGGTTTTTGTTCTGAACAGCCACAAACAGGTGGAAAGGAAGCGTTTATCGTCTGGTTTGGTTCGAGTTTTTGGTCTTCGTCGGTATATACTCCGTTTTATCTGTTACATACAGGTTTATCCTCAGTGCTACACTGAAGAGGTTAGTTAAATTATTCAAACGTTGACGCTGAATAGCCACATACATAAATGAGGTTTTTAGTTAACGTCTTATTAGTTAAAAATTGAAATTAGTTAGTAGATTTTAGAACTCACTCGTTTGTTGCAACCGTGTTTGTTGTGATAATCTCGGATTTCCTGTCCGTTTCCTGCCTTATACATATAAACATTTTGCCACTATGAACCCTCTTAAGACGGTCTCCAGTTGAGCCTTAAAAATAGTCCACATAAAACTCTAAGGGGTCATCAGTTATCAATTGAGTCTATATTGTCATAGTAATTTGTAGAAAGGACTTTGGAATCCAAGATCGAACCAGATGCCTTTAACGATTTCTCGGAGTAATCACCTCTTTAAACCTAATGTCAAGTAAGTTTTCTGCACCATCTTTCTCTTAGTCTAAAATAAAACAAACGCTTGCAAGATACTGGTTGTCTTTCAAACTGAGAATCCAAATCTTGGTGTCGATCTCATCATTCGATGGAATAGGTTAAGTTTGATCTTTACACACTTTCCTATCAGTATTTTGAAGCCTTTTAAAATATATTTTTTCCAACACTATCGTTTCAGGTTTGAATTGCCATCAAAAATCGTTATAATAAGTGCTACTTAGTTTGGTGGTCATACATTTTCTTAGTTAATAGACTTCTGCCAGAGCCCACGGGTCAGGAGTTGCATTGGTTTACATCTCAATCATTGGTTATTTATAATTCAATTCCAAGACACTGATATTGGCTTCTAACTGAGATACCAAATGTAATATGTTGGAATCTCTATGGATTTATGCCTCCACGTTACTGATTCACTATATTAGTGACTGCTAACAGGCTTTGAATGGGAATCCAGTGTCTCTTCAGCAAATCAAGGTTCAAACCCCTTACTGACATCTAAGGCTTTTGGAGAAGTATAATCTAAATGTACTTATACAAAAGACATTGATTCTCATGCTAAAATCAGACTTGGAAAAATCTAAATCTCTCTTGTCAAAGTAATTTCCTAATCGATACCTTATAAAAAATTCACTAGCAAGTGTAAACATAGGTTCCATGTATTGGTTTTATAATGGTACTGCACTCAGTGTTCGGTGGTTTTGTAGAGATACGTATAACTTGTCTTTTATGGAGTTGATGGGAATCCGCTCTAAAGAAAAAGCATATGATCACAAGTCGTAATAAATTGTACAGTACTTATTCAATCCAGCTTTTAAACATCTTACTCTTGCAAATTAATGATAAGAATATGATTCAGCTCAGTAATCACACGTGTATGTTTCAGATTTACAAGCTAATTATTAGAAGTAGGTAAAACTAAAGACACACAGTTCTCGATAAGTTAATAATACATGACGAAGTTGTAAAAAAGTCAATATTTCACGTATACCTAACTTTACTACTCTTAATTATTGACTTATTCAACTCTTTGTCGCTGCCTGTTAACTCGGAGTCGTAGCTCAGTGATTAGACATTTGACTTTCAGCCAATAAGTTTCTGGTTCGAACCCCGCCCCATCAACTTCAGCTTAGGTAACTGCACCTTATTATTAGTGCTCATACATCGAGTGTAACTCAGAGCAAAGTACACAAATGAGTCGAACGATTTTTTAACGTTAAAAGTTTTTGAACTGCTCAATTTTCCAGTATATCAAATATGTTGTTCTATTCGAACATTATACTGACGAAGATTATTAGTGTACTGTAGTATATCACAACAGTCGAGTAATTACCCAAATAGAAATCTTAGTGTTTTAGCTGCTTCAGATGTTTTAGATATTATTGTTAGTGTTTGTAGAATTATCCCATAAGCTTACTGATCCGAGTGGTTATAAAAGTTGCTTCAGCATTGATGACATGTGGGTAAATCGTTCCATATTGTATATTTCAAAATTGAACTGACCAACTGTTTTGCGCTTAAACAGTTAAAAATAGTTATTCAACTGTAATGACTTTTTGCCTAGCGTGTTTACAGTTATATTCAAAGTTACCACTGTCTATTTTACTGCAAATCGCTTGCTGATTTTCTATGGTATGTTATACATAACTTACGAAACATGATCAATAACTGGTTTAAACAGGTATTTTGAGCTATTGTGCATCTATTGTGGCCAGTACAACGAAACGGTTCCTGTAGCATTCGTTTTGGGCTTTTACGTTTCACTTATTGTTCAACGTTGGTGGGAACAGTTCCTAGCATTACCATGGCCTGATCGTTTGGCTTTGTTTATAACAGCTTTTTGTCATGGGAACGCTGAACGCCCAACAAGAATTAGACGAAATATAGTTCGATATATCAATCTGTCTTATTGTATTGCTTTACGTGCAATCTCATCTCGAGCTCGCTTGCGTTTTCCAACAGAAGAACATCTTGTTACTGCAGGTGATTCAATGTTTTTATTAAATATTGTGTCATTTTGAAAATATTCATCAATAGGACTTAATGTTGTTTTAATCAATTTTCACTCTTTATATAACAAACATACGTTTTAATACTAATGCTTCTGGTTTTGCGTATTATCGATAAATTCATTTGGTGTAAGTTAAGGGTTTAGATTCCATTGTACTATTATTGCATAACGAAACTCATTGGTCTCTAGGTTTACGCTTGCAATATCATTGTTTTAGTAAATTAGCCAAATTTATTGCGATTTCTGGGTTGTATCTGTCTAACAAAATATTAAGTAATATGTTTGTGAATACCTGAACAATGAGGTGGAGGGTTCAAGTTAACTGTTTGATTATTGATATATGTGTCAATTTCTTTTTTTATTGACTTTAATAATAACAGCTTCTTTATGTGAATGTTAATTGTGATATCTTTTAGTAATTTTAGAAAGTAGTATGATAGTCCAACTATTTCGTAAGAATATTTATGTTGAACTCTTGATTATATACTTGATTCCATTTCATTAATTTAATCATCCAAATATATACAAATTTTCTTTCCCAGAAACTGATTGATTGTTGATTTTCAAACAATATGTATCATTAACATCGTTACATAGTACCTACTGTGAATTTACTGGATTGTAATTAATTATCATGCTTTTTGGAAAATACTTACTTACGCCTGTTACTCCTCGTGAAGGACCATAGGCCGCTCACCAGCATTCTTCATCCAACCCTGTCCTGGGCAATCCTTTCTAGCTCCGTCCAGTTGTAATTAATCGTTTTCATATCTGCTTCTATTATCCGACGCAATGTGTTCTTTGGCCTTCCTCTTTTTCGCTTCCCTTCAGGATTCCAAGTTAGCGCTTGCCTCGTGATGCAGTTTGACGATTTGCGTAATGTATGTCCTATCCATTTCCATCGTCTTTTCCTAATTTCTTCTTCAGCTGCAAGTTGGTTTGTTCTCTCCCACAGAAGGCTATTGCTGATGGTATCCGGCTAATGGATGTTGAGTATCTTGCGTAGACAGCTATTTATAAATACTTGTACGTTCTTGATGGTGGTTGTTGTAGTTCTCCAAGTTTCAGCTCCATACAGTAGAACTGCCTTGACGTTGGTATTGAAGATTCTCACTTTGATATTGGTTGAAAGTTGTTTTGAGTTCCATATATTCTTCAATTGTAGGAATGCTGTTCTTGCTTTGCCAATCCTTGCCTTTACGCCTGCATCTGAACCTCCTTGTTCATCGATGATGCTTCCTAGGTATGTGAAGGACTCTACATCTTCCAGAGTTTCGCCATCAAGAGTGATTGGATTGTTGTTTTCCGCTTTGAATTTGAGGACTTTGGTTTTCCCTTTGTGTATGTTGAGGCCTACTACTGCAGAGACTGCTGCTTCACTGGCTGTCCTCATCTGCATTTGTTCGTGTGTATGCGATAGTAGGGCTACGTCATCTGCGAAGTCCAAATCGTCTAATTGATTTCGAGCTGTCCATTGAATTTCGTGTTTTCCTTCAGATGTCGAAGTCTTCATAATCTAGTCGACCACCGGAAAAAAGAGGAAGGGAGAGAGTAAACAGCTTTGTCTGACTCCAGTTCTTACTTGGAATGCATCTATCAGCTGTCCTCCATGCACGACTTTGCACTGTAGTCCGTCATATGAGTTCCGGATAATGTTGACAATCTTCTCAGGAACTCCGTAGTGTCGAAGAAGTTTCCATAATGTCCTCCTATCTACACTGTCGAGTCTTCTTCATAATCAATGAAGTTGATGTATAGTGATGAGTTCCACTCAACTGATTGTTCGACGATGATCCGTAGTGTTGCAATTTGGTCTGTGCACGACCGATCCTTACGGAATCCAGCTTGTTGATCTCGAAGTTGGGCGTCTACTGCATCCTTCATCCGGTTCAGCAACACTCTGTTGAAGACTTTCCCTGGTATTGACAGCAGTGTAATGCCTCTGTAGTTTTCACATTTGCTCAGGTCTCCTTTCTTTGGAATCTTGACAAGGTGTCCTTCTTTCCAGTCCATCGGCACTTGTTCCTCTTCCCAAATCTTTTTGAATAGAAGGTGAAGCATGTTTGTAGTTGCTTCGATGTCTGACTTCAGTGCTTCAGCTGGTATGTTGTCCGGACCCGCTGCTTTCCCGTTCTTGATTTGTCTGACGGCCATTCTAATTTCTTCCGTCGTTGGTGGGTTGACATCTATAGGAAGATCTATGTGTGCTGCTTCGATGTCCAGTGGATTCATTGGAGCCGGCCTATTCAGGAGTTCCTCGAAGTATTCTACCCATCTGTTCCGCTGTTGTTGAATTTCGGTGATTGGCTTGCCTTCTTTGTCTTTGACCGGCCTTTTTGGAAAATGAAAGACATTAAAAATAAGTGAAGTATTAAATCTAAATTTTACTACACATGAGACCTCATATAAAGCATCATCTCATAACTGTCATTTCCATGGCGAAAAAATGTTCTGGTACTTAAATCTTATTTTTCAAAATTACTCGTAATTTCCAAGTTCTCACATGGGTTTCAATTATACATTTTAAACTCTATGTCATATAATCTCTGAAAGAGTTAATGAAATGTACTCTGTACATTAGAAAAATGTACATTCCACTCGCATATAAGTATTGGACTGATTTTATTCTGGTAATCTACCATTTGAAAGAAAGCACATAAATAAATCCATTTCTTTACTATGGATGGAGACAGCCTACAAAAAGCCTTGTATGTAGATTTTTTTAACACTCTTCAGTATAGAATATTTACTGTCTCAAGGAAACCGATGCTTCATGTGGGTTTCGAATTTCTATCACTTAGTGTCAAAGTTAGTGTTTTGTCACCAAACTATTCGGGATACGGCTGAACTGTGGAATAGTTGAGTACAAATTGATTGATCATTTATAATGACCAATACTGTGTCTAGTTCTTGTTGCTGATGGAATCCTACCGATGAAGTTGGAGTACATAATTGTGTTTTATCAGAACGTGAGTTTAGGTTATACTCAGAATAATGACAATGTAAATCGATTCAAATCTGTGTTAATTCACCACCAACAATTCAATAATTAATTGTTAATAAACCGAGCTATTTGTAAGAGGTCCGTTAATACTGAAGTAGATTACTTCATGGTATTTAATAGCGATCAAGAATGGCATTTACAGTGTATATTTTTTCTTAAGAAGAGCTAGTCAAAGGAAATAGTCAATTTATCTCATAGTTTTCTTTAATACTGAAGTAGTCACTTTAAAAAACCAATATACAGACTAACAAGTGTTAGCCAAATAGGATTTACTCGCTTATACATACATTTAATGGAGTTCATATCTAAAGTGTATAGCATCCATTCTGCATTTCACTGCTGACTAGTGCCGTCAAGATTATTATTTTTTCATGAGGATAATTGTATGTTTCAAAGTGTTCATACTACTTTTTCTCTTTCCAGGATTGATGACACAAGAAGAATTGGATATTTATCGTAGTACTCAACCCAGCGAATATACTTTATACTTTGTTCCGTTAGTATGGGCCCTAGATATGGTTACAAAAGCTCGTGAAGAAGGCTACATACGCTTTGATAGAGCTGTTGAAATTTTGACGAATGAAATCACATCATTTCGTAGTAAATTAGGTACAATATTTGCTTATGATTGGGTTAATCCTCCACTTGTATATACCCAAGTGAGTTGATAAGTAGTATTAAACTAACATGCAATAACAAGATGGACTGTTTACTACTTTTTCAAGATTTGGTATTTTATTTATGGTTTACTGACAGATAATTATATTTCCCTTATGTCTGGTGGTCAAACAATTGGGAATGTTTAAAGCGTGACTGACAAATACACAATTTCCAAACAAGTAACATATGAGGATATGAGTGGGACTTAATACCACCTTTCGTCAGACGATTCTAGTCATGTCTGCGTTAAATATAGAACATTTCCTATAGGGCGGTGTTTCACCGGTTAAGGCCACTAACTTAAAGGTTCGACATCGTCACAACTGCTCCGATTTGAGCAATATTCCACCAGTTTGAAAGAGAGATAAAATCAAGTTTATGGAGTATTGACGACTTAGTCACTGGATTTCGAACCAGTGGATCTCTGGTTTAAGATCTGCATCACTTACACTAGTTTTAAACTACGCGGTTGTATCACTAGCCCTAACAATTCGAGTGTGGTTTGAAGGCAAGTTCATGGATAGGGTTCTGGTAAATAAGTTAATATCTTGTTGTTCAAGAGGCATATGAAAATCCTATTGGACTTAATCCGAGCTTTTTTGTTTGAATCCTTCAATTCGATTTTACTCTTATTACTTCAAGTCTTTCTAGCAAATATAAGTAGCCATATTCACCACTGACACGTTTATTTAAACTATATATATATATATATATATATATATATATATATATATATATATATATATATATATATATATATATATATATATATATATATATATATATATATATATTGTTTCCGATATAACAATTTAAAATACTTTTCTCAGGTATAAAATATTAGTTAACCTAGTTTTAACGATCAGTTTAATTAATATTTTAGCTAAAATCTGGGAGTTGAACGTAATCCCTTCTGACTGGTCGCAATCACTGATTGTCCCAATATATAAGAAAAGGTCGAAATCATCCTGTGATAACCATAGAGGGATCAGTCTAATATAGCATCTAAAATACTAGCCTCAATAATTACCAGGCGCCTAACAGAGACTCCTGAACTGCAAACATGAGAAAATCAGGTCGGCTTCAGACCTGGTCGTGGATGCATCAACCACATATTCACTATTCGTCAGGTTCTAGAACACAGACATACTTATCGGCGTCCGATAATAGTGGTCTTTCTCGAATTAAACGTAGCACTTGACTCTGTAGACCGTGAGATTCTGTGGCAGTGTCTGTCATTGAAAGGCGTACCTCAGAAAAACATAAACCTTGTGAAGGCTCTTTACTCGAACACTACTAGTCGAGTCAGAGCTTATGGCGAACTGTCATCTGCTTTTGCAACCTCAAGTAGTGTCCGTCAAGGATGTCCACTTTCTCTATTTTTGTTCAAATTCATCATAGACCTAGTGATAGAAATAACGCTCTCGTCGCTGACTAACTAACTGGCTGACTACTCAACGCAGCCACAAGCAGTCACACTCAGTAAGTCCGGAGTGAAAATCAGTGGAAGGTAAGGAAACCACATATTTAAGTCAGTAGGTTGTGGTTGTTTGTCCACACTCCGTGACTAATCATATTTTAATTTCACTGCCATACATCAGTTTTTTATACGATTATACATCCAGACTATTTATCATTAACCCAGCTACAATCTCATATTCTTTAATAATCTATATATCTATATAAATATTTTTATCATGATATGTGATATATGCCTTGTAAATCGTCAATTAATTGGCTCACCTACTAATTGCTTTCACACATGAAAATAAGATACGTCAGCCAAAGAAATCAATCGGTTTTGATGTTTATTCTAAAAATAACGTTAGTATTTTAGGTGATGTGTAGTTGTGCATCCTCTAGTGGTTACCTTTGTGTGTGTGTGTGTGCAATTTAGACACCATTTATTTATAGATAGTTGAAAGGTGGCGTAAATTATGGGGAAATTTGAATATAATAAACCAGTTAAATTTGTTATGTTTCAGTATTTCTACTTAGTACTGTTAGTTAGATCTGTTTTTTAGAAGTTACGAACTATGCGCAAGCATATGTCTAATGCACATTGATTCTTGACTGTGCTCTGGCTGATATTACCTTGACCAAAAACTATCATGACCATAAGTTTGTAATCTTTTGTGATTTCGGAAAGTTTTTAGATCCCAAGTGCTTTTAAAACCATCATTCGGTTATTAAAAAAGGGCTGTCAGTTTCATCATATACCTTTTTCGAAGGTATTTTTCAGTTTTGCAATGAATCGTTAAGGCGGCAAATTACAATCCGCCACAATATTTGGGTTCCACTTCTCAGTGGGTGGGGCAGGAATAGAGTAACAGAGCTTGGAGCGTCCGGACCAAAACGTGGACTCATTCCATAGATATTAGTTGTTAATCTTGGTCATGTTGGTAAGTGTAGACTACTTGGTTAGGGCCGGTGCAATGATCGTCGTATGAATTCCGTATGGTGTTGACGATCTTCTCATCCCGACCGTTGCTGCTACCCTCAAGTGGTGATCGGGCTTGCCTATCGTGACTAACTAATCGGGATATACTGACTAGCACAACCATTTTTCAAGGTCCTACCACGTCAGGCAAGTCGGTTGAAGAACGATAAGACTAAAAGCAGCAAACCCAAGGTCCGAAGGCGGAGATATGGGTATCACTAGCCACATCCCCGTCGAATTGGCTAGTGACACTCTGAAATATAGGTTAACCAAAGTAATCACCAGGACATTCTACGCAGCCAATCTTGCGTTGACCTTCTCTTGTCGACCAGCGATGTCTACTCAAACGAAGGATAAGTTACCTGAGTTGGCCTCTTCCATGTGCATTTACAAATTCAGCTGCTCCTGTGCAGATAGCTATATAGGGCGTACTACCAGACAACTTAATCAACGAATGAGTGAACATCTACCAACTTGGTACATAAAGGGCCAGAGAAAATCTATTCGCAGTTCTATATTAGCACATCTTATTGATAGCGGTCATGCAGTAGATAAATCGAAATCATTTCGAGTTATCTATCGTATACCTCCATCATTTCCCAACGGAGTTAGTTCCCGCCTCCTACATATAACTGAAGCCATTGGAATTCGTACATATAACCCCAATTCACGTGTACAGAAGAAATTCGTAATCCACCTATCCGTTCCATGGCCAGTTATAACTTAACTAATGAATTTGTTTTTGAAATTACTTTTATTATCATTATTTATTTTATTCTATTTGTGTTATCGTTAACCTTATTTCCACATCCATTATTTGTTTGTAATTTTCCGCCTCTTTGTATTCTTCACTATCTAATTGTTTACACACATCTTATTACGTAATGATTTTAATGTTTTGTGATGACTATTCCTAGTCTTGGTTCTATAAGGGGGAAAGGAAAGCAGTTAGGAGTTCTATACTTGAACACCTAATCGACTGTAACCATTCCACTGATCCAAGAAATGAATTTAAGATTGTTTATATGATTCGTTCAAATCTACCCAGATTTCTTCGCATCCAACTTTTAAAAATAGCCGAAGCTCTTACCATCCAGGAGCTTAAACCAGAACTATGCGTACAAAAGAAGTACGTCTTATCGTTATCGTTACCTTGGCCTTAAGTATTTTGATTATCCAATTATTATTATTATTATTATTATTATTATTATTATTATTATTATTATTATTACTGCATTCTCCCCTTTACTTATATCTTATATTCTCATTGTTTTATTAGTGAATACTCATCATATCACCATATTTATTTATTTTTACACCTATATGACCTTTAATTATTATTATAACAAAAACATTTTTAATCATTTTAATCATTATAATCACTAAATCTATTGTTATTATTATTATTATTATTATTCATATTACGTAATCTAGTATTATAACCTTTTTATTAACTGTGTTCACATTTCCTCACGGAATTAGTACTTTTACAAAATCAAAAAAAAATTTTCATATATATACGATTGTACAGCTTGATAATAAATTCGTTGAAAAGAGATCCCTTCGCTGAAATTCGTGTTTTAATTTTAATATTCCTAGTCTATTTACCCATGTTTATTTGACCTTCTATTCCCAACGATTAACCATTGATAAGACTTTATTGTATTTTATTATTCTCACTATTATCAGTTCACCTGTCTTCCTACTATCAACTTGTACTTTTACCTATTATGTGTAGTGACTTATTCTATTTCATTGTGATTATTGACTCATATTGCCTTGAGTGGTTTAAAATTTCCGTATAAATATTCATGTATATTAGAGTAAAGCCTGATGACGATCTAATTGAAAACAATATTGTTCGCTTATATGTGTTGTATAACCATTTTGTTGAATGCACATGGATTTGCGAATCTGTCACCATTCCCATTCGTTTCTCCCAGTCAGTTCATGTCGTCTCACTCTATCTTCATTTCCGATGTTGTCCATTCCGACTTTGACGTTTAAGTCTTCAATCTGGATGATCAAGTCATTTCCTGACCATTTTGCTATGATTGACTGAAGTCTCTTGTGAAATCGGTCTTTTTTTGTCGTGGTTACTATGATTGGTTAACATTCCTTGTGGTTCCCTCTTTCTTTGTTTATAAAGATGCATTGATAATTCTGGATCCATGAGATTACCATTCTATAAGTGCATTACGTGATTTTTTGGATAGCATCAGTGCAACTCCTTGTATGTGGGGCATTTTCTTCATCTCTGGAGTGCAATATCACCTTTCTCGAAGCCAATCCTTTCTGTTCAGTTTGCTTCCAGTGTGTGTCACCTGTTCCAATTATCGTCAGGTTGTATCTCCTTATTTCCGCAGCTATTTGATTGGCCCTCTCAGTCTCCCACATTATCCATACATTTTGATCAAGTCGGCATAAAGTTAAAAAAAAATTAAATTCAAACGTAGACGATATGGTTAAAAGTCATTACTTTTCAGAATTACCGGTTTATGATTTCCTTTTACGATGATCAACAAACTTGTTTTTCCTTTTGTTGCCTTGGTATTGAATATTAACAAATGGAAATCTTATAGTTCGTATTTATCTACCAACGTCTACAGCTTAAACTATTTAAAATTTCTGTTGTGGAAATAAGAACAACACATATCGGTGAACAATACTGTTTTCAACTATATCTTCATCTGTTTTTCTCTTTAATATACAGTAATATATTTATGTGCATATATATAAGGAAATACTAAACCAATCATGCTAGCTTGTGAGACATTGGTAACAATAAAATAGATTACATATTTAAACATATATGTTTTACTGTATCATTCAAGTAAAGCCTGATAGAGGTCTAATTGATATTAATAACGTTCTTTTATATGTATTGTAGTATACAGCTTAGACAGTGTAATAACACTTTTCAGGTGACTTAACTATATCTAACTATGTAGTTGTAATATTACGTGTATACTTGTTTATATTGTTACTTTCATTTCCAATTATGTATGTACACAAATACTCGTTACTATCCTCGTAAAAATTTTCATTGTAATCTCTTCGTTTTGGTGCTGTCATTATATTGTTACTCATTTCCTATCATCCCCCTCTCAATTTTCAGACTGTAACAATTGCTGTATATGGATATTTTGGTACATGTTTACTTGCATGGCAGTATTTAGACCCATCAAAAGAATATGAAGGTCATGATGTTGATATTTATGTGCCAATTTTCGGTTTACTTCGTTTCTTCTTCTATATTGGATGGCTGAAGGTTAGTTCCATGTGTTATGTCTTTAGACGTTGATTGATACCACGTTTAAACGTCACTAACCAGATTTCTGATTATAACTGTTTCCTGTTCCATGTCTACTATTTCTTCCGTACCCTATTATACTAAACTTGACGTTCACAGTTAACCTTGGGCTGATGCAAGCTAAGCTCTTACTGGCTCGGTACACCCAAGCTTTTCTCTATCCCTTGCAGTGAATTCAACGGCGAGTCAGCAGTCAGCTTCTACTACATTATATTTCAACCACATGTAGGTTTATGTACAGAAATACGTCATACCATAAAATAAAAAAATCACGCTTATACATAAGTAGGCTAAAAAGGTCCATAAATAGTGCAATCTGTAAGTAATTAATTGGCAGCAAACTGGAAATAATAAGCTGCATCGTAATAGTTAGTGAGTTGAAAAAAATAACGATAACGAATTTATAAACATAGTAATTTAGTTACTTAGTAATTTGTCAATAAGAATCCATAAATTATGGACAGAGATGGATGGTGACTAGCAGTGGAATTTAGGACGCTCGTTTCGTTCTGTTTTGGACTTGTCATTTAGATTTACCTGTATCCCAAAGTTGATATTCACTCCGAGACTCGAATCCACTACCGTTCATTTCAAACGCCATCTCGTTATTCAGATAGTTACTAGCTTGTGCAATGGGTTGAAGTTTTAATTCATTTTATATTGCTTGTTTGAATCTTTCCAGTTTCTGGAGTTATATATATATATATATATATATATATATATATATATATATATATATATATATATATATATATATATATATATATATATATATATATATATATATATATATTAGACGTCTTAACAACTCACTATCATATACATTGATGTTATTTTGGCTCTTAAAAGTTGTGGTGAACAAGCAGTAAGAATTAATGAATGTTTAGTTGATACTCTTCAGTATCTGTATATTAATATATCCAACTGCTTCTACGTACATTTATTTATTAATTTTGTTTCGAATAAAACTTTCTCATATCACCGTGTTATGCATTAGATTTGTGTTACACAATTCAGACGTCCTTTATAGATTAAGCATATTTAACTAATAGAAATAATAAGACTTTTAAATTACATTAGTTTAGTAAATCTTATTAGTTTCTTAAATCCATAATATAAATATTCAACTTTAATAATAGTGCCTCCAAATGCCCTGGTACGGCCGAGAGTGTGGAGAGTCCGCTCTCCCTCTCGAAATGCTCTCACATGACCACGCGTATATAGCCTCTGACAGGGAATTCCTACTCACTGCCTTCTCGTGGTGGGGGTGTTGTTTACGAAATTGAGAGGACGAAAAGCGAATGTCCAGCGCTTTAACCGGGTTGGTGGACATGGGGAGTCCACCTAGGGGAGTTGGAATGCCCTGATTACTAACCAATGGTGCACATGGGCTCCAATATCCTGAAAAAACAAGTGGAGTATGAACCAATCGTTGGTCACCGGCTACCATGGGACTGCATCTCCTTCCGATGCTCCACTGCCTTGTGGATCAGACCTTCAGATTGAAGGCTCCGGGTGTGGTCCCCTAAGGAGTTCACCTGCTTCAGTTTGAACACTCGAGTAGTATCACAACCCTCATACATATCAAATTAGGTCTGTGTGGCGCATATGCATTTGGTGCCTCCTTGCACCAATATCTTTGTGTTAAAATAAATAAATAATTAATAATAGTAGAAATATCACTGTAGAATTTCGTCCTAATGAATGTGAATCGGTAGGGGTTTTTGTGGAGATTTTAGTAATTTCAATAGCTGACTCATGATTTCAACTATTGGAATATGAATCGGTTTCTTTCTGGATTATTGTTAATAGTGATAAATACTTCTATGGAATATTCTCAGTTATAACTAATTTATCGAAAAGTTGATCGAATAGAGTGATTTATTTTTAACATTTTTATAATACTAATTTAGATGTTACTTATTGAAATTTATTAATCAAGTGATTCGATTTTTAGATTTCACTATGAACAAAAAGTTAAAAAAAGCAAACAATGAGCCTTAGTTATTACCACCCAATAAACATAGTTACAATGTTTTACACTGTCATTTATACTTTATAATGTTAAAATCGAATTTCTTCTATCAATAATCAAAGTTTTAAGTACTCTGTTTATAAGGGTGGTATCTTTTCAAGGTTTCTTATTTTAGAGTTTTTGTTTTCTAAGTTTAAAAAAAACCCCCACCAATCTCTTTCTTGATTCTCATATTCTCAACTCTACAGTTTATTTGTATCCAACTTGTTTATTTTATAACTTAATTCGACTTGTAATTTGTATTTTTACTAATAGGTTGCAGAGTCATTAATTAATCCATTTGGTGAAGATGTTGATGATTTTGAAATTGAATATTTAATTGAAAGAAATTTACAAGTGAGTTATTTTGTATGCTTAGTTATAATTCATTTTAATGTGCTATATATATATATATATTCTGCAGCAATTTGGAAGACTTTCCTGGTCTCCCAAATTCTACGAGCATTCCGTGTACCTAAATTAATGGTTTCTCTGGTTGTCAGAAGGGGCATCAGCCTCGTGACTTCCGAAGGAACTCGGCTTTTACCATTAGGCGTCATAGCTCTTCTAAATGAAGACCTAACTCCCAGGATAGAGTTTAAGTGGTTTGAATTTTCTTTTCTGGTTAACGTTTTTAGCGATTTGGTTTTCTACAGCATGGGGTCGCAAATCTCATGCCCGACCCTCCTCTCGTTTATCTGGGCTTGGGACCGGCATTAGCTCTAGCGGGGCTATATATATAGACATCAGTTGGTTATTATTCAAGATGATCTTTAGAGATTGCCATAGTGTGAAAAAACCAGATTCATTGCCGAATACCACTGATGACATCAAATATAGACAGTTCCAGTGAATGGATAATAGTATGTTCGTGGAAGCTTTATTTTTCTGGGTGATATGCTGCATAAAGAGATTGAAGTATTGTAACACTTAAGCGTATCAGACTAAATTCGATTAAATTTAAAAACCGAAACTACTAAATTTCGACTTAGTAATCGAAAAATATGGTAGACTGCTTCGTTCATTACCTAAGATTTGATCGGAAATTACTAACTTTCATGACATCTAACTCATAGATTGCTTCATTGACACTAGGTTTCTGGTTTCTGATCGCTCAGATGTGTTGAAACAGCTTCCTGGAGTTACCGGATTCAGATTCTGTTTCAAATTTGTAAGCATAGTTTGATAACCAGTTTTTGGAATCGTTACTCAAGCTTTGTAAAATTTCGCCCGTCAGGGATTTATGTATCTTGTCATATTCGTAATTCACTGAAATAAGCAAACATGAGACAAAAAGTTGTAAGAAGCATCAAAAACTCTGTTTACAGGTAGGAAGTTATGTACAGTGCTAAGCAACTTTATTAAGGATTTTTATGACTCTTTCTCAGTGTAATCAGTCCCTATCTACGCTCTCCACCTAATCTGTGTCAACTTCTGTAGCAATGGTTATGTCTAGGTAATCCACACAAGGTGCTCATATCCCAACCAAGCATAGAAGTTTAAAGTTACGCGGACTAACTGTTGATGAGCCATGATATTGAAGAATAGTGCCGCAACTACTTCTGTTTCCCCAGATACTTAAACTTACACGAAGATTTAGTCACGATCACTGCTTAATCCTGACAAACCATGGCTTAAGATTTCACATAAACTTTGCTGATTCAGCACAGTGAAAAATTTGTGTAAATACCGTGGACATGTTTATAAAGTGTCACTGTAGCAATAATCAGCAAGTCATTCAATTTGTTCAGCTGTTTCACAGTACCTGCTTTGATCCGGGCGCCCGGGTAGTACCTCAGCCCTCACTCGAATTAAGTGATTTATGTGACGCATATCTTGTGCTTTCTTGTGCTAATGTTTATATGTTTAAGTAAATAAATGAATAAAATAAATACCAAAAACTTCGGTGACGCATAATGACTTCCAGCTCATTTAATACTGTCAAACAGTTTAGCAAATAGAATGGTGTTAATCATTTACTATCTCTCCCATTTTATTCATATTCAGTACCGTCCGAAACTGTTTGTAGATATTTAAATAGACTTTATTGAAAGGGTAAGGCGATGTTCTGCCCATTTAAGTAATCAACAAGTTTATAACATCTTATCGAATTACTTTTAATCCTGTTGTTCTAGTGTCAAAGATTCATTAGAGATGCTAGTTAGAGTTTTGGAACTTAACGCTATCCTATCTATTTTCAATCACGGATCATCATAGTCTATAAGAAAGAATTAAATCCTATTGTGATCACTACGTAGGAATCAAATATCAGCCTATATAATCTGGTGTCTTTCTGACTTTTGTTGAAGCTTTCACTATTTGAAAGCAGTAAGATTTCTCTATAGAAGATACAAGCATTCGACTTTATGAGAATATATTGAAAGGGAAAGAGGATTGTTCTCATAGTCGTAGGGTTTTTCTGATTTATATATTCTATATTAAAAGAACAACATTTTCATGATATCCGAATGAGTAGCAGTTTGTATTTCTGACGTTTCGTGACTTAATATATGTCACTCTTTCAGTATAAATAAATAAATAACGGAAACAAATTAACAGAAGTTTAAATAGTATAATGGAAATAAAGCAGAATATTTCTTGTCCAATCAAAACCATAATAGGTCTGAACATGTCAATGTGTTATTTTTGGTCAAGGCGATTCTGTACGAGACATCATTGTGTTTATTTATGTGTATGATGGTGGGTATAAAAAAAGTGTAATTTCAAGTATAAAGTTACAGTTTGAGCGTGTGTTTGTGTAGATTGTGTGTGTCAAACGTGGTTTTATGGATAAACAATTCAATTTTTTTTATTTTGTCCCACCAAACTAAGTAGGAGAAGCCATGAGGCTTCTTGGGAAAAGAATAGAGATTTTGCAGAGTGCGTGACTGGAGCACTGCAGAAAGCAAAGTAAATGGACATATCAGAAATTTACTTAGTTACATTTTTTGTATAATTGGGGAATTCGATTTATATCGTGCAGATGAACACGTTAACAATCTGCACTTTCCTATCACATTTAGAAACCTTGTAACAAATCAAAAGCGTTTAGAGCTATAATAAATACACCAGTATGGGATGTTATACTGCCTCAAGTATGCGTTACATGTATATATAGAAAGCATTGATGGAAGCCTATGCACTTCATAGTATACACATAAGCTTAGATGCGATCGACCCCAGACTGTTGCCCAGTGGTTACAAAACACTGAATGAATAACATGTAGTTAAATCAATCGGTTTGTAAATCGTTATTTGACGGTGTGATCTCTTCACGCCCATAACATAAGAAAACTTAGTGTCGACCCTTTTGCACTGGTTACGGCACAGTTTCTGTTCATACGTTGTGACCCGCCCCTGCTAGACTTGATAGGGCTTTCCAAAGTGAATCCACCCAGGCACCAAAAAGAAAATTTTTCAGTTCTGCCTTTCACTGTTATCCATACAACACACTTCATTAATCAGATATTAAGACAGAGTGGATGAATAACCTGATCTTCACTGGTTTAAGTAAAGTAGGTGGTTAACGCGATCTCTACCTGGCCTCCCGTGTTAGCTCATGGACATGGTTAACTAACATCAGGGCACCAAGAAGAGGTGCGAGCAGGTCTTTGTCCTGGATAAATAGTCCAATTTGGATGAACAGTTAGTCCTTTCCTATCGAGGGTAAAGGGATTCTGCATTATATGAAACGCTTAGACTTTTCTCCTCTCTGTATAGTTGAAAAAACCTTTCTGAATTATTTTGATATTTTTAATATTGATTTGGTGGTTACTGAATAGAATATGTGCTACTATTAGTGATTTCATTTTTACATTTTTGAGCTCTACAGGACTATTAGGTCTTTTTGTGTAGATTGAGTGTTCGTTTTCACGAGAAGCCTCTTCAACATGGAATACATCACTACCGATTCAACCTAGTCTGTGAATACAATTCTACGTGGATGTAAAACTTTGATACTATTTGAACTTGCATAAATTTATTTCGGTTATTTATTTGTTTACTCGGAAGAAATGACTTCACATTAAATCACGAAACGTCAGTAGTATAAATTTCTACTCATTGGGATATAACAAAGTTAGAATTATTTTATAATAATTAGCTTTTCTATTCAATGCTAAGTTTACTTGAAACTATCAAGTCCGAATCTTGGTATTGTTATCTGTATTTTCTATGTTTAATTGTTTACTAATATTAAGTATTATTTCAATACGACGTGCGATGTTTTATGGTGTATGACTAGGTCGGAAGAAAGCTAGGAGTGGCCAGACCAAAACATGGCACAAATCCTTGAAGTCACTGACAATTGAACTGAGCCATGTTGGTAGGTGTAGACTACCTGGTTGGGATCAGCGAGATGATAGCAACGGATGGTTAGAGACCCTGAATGACATGGCTCCAAATTGTGTGCGATGGCGCATGTGCATTACCTCTGTGTTCTCCCAAATCCTAATCTTCTGAATTCTTCATGTCGCTTTTCTTTTTCTCTTTCCAAATTTATTTCACTGTGTTATACTCCTTGAATAACATCTTCAAACCCTAATGTTTCTGATTACTGCTTATACTTTTACTACCTCTACGTTTAGATAGAGTCGAATTTCCACCAAAGACGAGCTGCTGTATAAGTCGAAAAAATAAGTATAGACAGAGTAAGAATAAAAGAGGGTGAATAATGTCGTTGTAAATAATAATAATAATAATAATAATAATAATAATAATAATAATAATAATAATAATAGCAATGATAATAATTTGAATCATTTGATTGTTATTCGAAGCGAGAAAAATAGTCTCCATAGATATAGAGAGTTCATCATTTGCGTGTGGGCTGTGATACTGCCCTAGTGCCCAGACCGAATCAGGTGGTTATTTTAGGGGGGCACACACCGAGCCTTTGACCTAAAGGTCTAACCCACAAGGCAGTGGAGCATCAGAAGGAGATGCAGTCCCATGGCAGCCGGTGACCGAAAATTAGTTCATACGTCATTTGTTCCTTCAGGATGCTGGAGCCCATGTGCAACATTGGTATGGGATTCGGTTAAAGCGCCGGACATTCGCTTTTCGCCCTCTCATTTTCGTAAACAACACCCCCGCCACGAGAATGCAGTGAGTAGGACTTTCCTGTCAGAGGCTATATACGCGTGGCCATGTGAGAGTATTTCGAGAGGGAGGGCGAACCCACCCCACTCTCGGCCATACCAGAGTATTTGGGTGCTATCAGATATGGCTCAGAATAGAAGCTAGTGGCGATCCTGCTGTAACCTTCTTTTACTTTCTTCATAAAAAAAGTGGTTGTGTCTCCCTTAACTGAAAGATTTCTTCTGATTGTATCTTTCCGTTCCCCCATTTTTACCATT